GTAACTTAAGAACATCTCCAGGTTCAAACGGCAAAACATAAATTAAGATTGTTCAGCCTCATTCCAAAAATTTGATGTACTTAAAACAAAGAGCGTATCTGCGATATTTTGTTCAAGTTTATATTTAATTTCTACACCAGTTCAAGGTAGACGTACTTGGGTGGTATCCATACACATCAATTCATCTGCTACGTCCTTCAACTCTGCTTTTACCAAAGCCTCAGCTAATTTTTCGACGGTAGCGTTCCGTCCCTCCCGACGCATCCAGCACACGAGGACTTCGATACAGCACTCCTTGATAGAGCTGCTTTGTTCCTTTTGGATCCCATTGATCTCTGTGTGGCTGTAGCCTAAGACTCGTGCCAGGTCTCTCCACTTCTCTCCAACCTTTCGCGGCAGGTGATAATTATAGATGTCTTTTTCCTTCAGCTGATGACTCGGGTCCAGGCCCATTTGGATTGGATCCTGATCTGTAGCACAACAGTAGCATTAATTAAAGCTACCGTTATGCAGCTAAAAAGGTTCGATGGGACAAACTCAGCTTTTCAAAGAGGAAAACAAAACGGAAAGCGTAAAAAATGCCCTTTATTTTAAAACAGGGCTATCGCAAATGTAAACCTGTTGATCTCGTGTTTAAAATAAAAAATAAAGTGAATGAATAAACGTGTTTATATCGAAAAAAAAGTCGGCAACGGAACTTTTCGGGTGGGTTCTTTGCCATTCGGCTTTCCTCGTGTTCCCCTCGAGTGCTCGATCAGCCCAGCATAAACTAAAAGAGTTGCAGCAAGCTTATAACGTAAGGTCACTATTTTTCGGAAAACGCAATCGCTATTTTATTTAGCTCCCGTATAACCGTATATTGAACAAGCATCTGGTGTCAAGCTTTATACGTGGAATGGATTAATATTCATGAAGGTCTGAACGCCAGTATCAATTATTTAAATATATGTTCATTTTCAATTACCGTTTTGTACATATGGTATCTAGTTCAAAAATAGCACAAATACGTCATCCCGCTATCTTAGCATGGAATACTGCGGGCTCAGTTGTGTACACTTTCAGTTCAAGTGACCCGTGACCTGGCAACGGGACATCTGTGTGACTACGCATTGGAATACTATAAAAGATGAATATTCTACGACACTTATGCAGGAATTGTCTCTGCTTCTAAGCCCCTGTGAAACACCGGCAGGCCAGAAATAGTGAGCCAAGTAGAGGAAACGACTGTTTAGTCACTCAACTTAGAGTAGATGAAAGTTTAGCAAACATTTATAAAAATAAAAATGTGATAATAATAAATAATAAATGTTTGAGGAACGATGTGCATGATTACTTAAGATAGCTTGAAAATCTGAGAACAAACTTGAACATGACATCAGAAACACCGATCATTATTATCCTAATTTCCTGTACGCCTCCTGTACGCCTCCTGTAATCGCTTGAAAGACATTACTGACTCGGTAGCCACCCGGAAATAACGAAGCATCAAGGCCTTTAAGAACGATATTGTAAACTTCTACCAGAGAGTCATGTAGTTATATTAAAGTACTTACCCTTGTCTGCAGATTTACAGGACATTCCTCCAGTTATGTTCTCTGGCCAAGTGTTCTGGTCCGGTCGTGATCGAAACAGCAGCCTAGATCAGGCTCCAACAGGACTTGAAGATTTAAGAAATTAACAAAAGATCTTAAGGAATTGTGATCGATCTGTCTACCACTATGTTAAATAAGCAAGAACTTGGAACTCAGCATTCGAATGTACTTTGGAGAATCGAGCTGTGTTAGCTTGTCTTATTTATAGCCGGAACGTCCTGACTTCATGCCCTCTCGTACCTTGTTTGATCATATGCAATACCGTCTGATAGGTTAGTTGATATGGCTATATTTTCATTTCTTCGTACGATGAGCCCGGCGCGGCGGACCGTGGATTATCCGGGGTTTTTACCGGTCGCGTTTACTCGGAAATCTATATTAAAGAACAATTTGAAAAATGCTTGTGTCAAATACAAAGCCGTGTAACATTGGGCATATCACGAGTTTATACCTATACACTCGTCCGGTCCATGCATGCTCAAAGAAATAGGCTGGACAACTTTCATTGCGCACAAACTGCAGGCTAAGAGACCGCCGACGCAAAAGCGATCGTTTTGCCTTGTGTTCTGCGCAAAGATAAGAGCGAGAGAGCGTGACCTGCGTTACAGGCGTCACATAATCTCCTGTAGAACGTACAGGGACAGTCAACAGCAAGATGAATCAATTTAATCCTGACTTTTCAATAGATCTCTCAGATTATTGAAATGTGTATTGTAACTCGCTTCATACTTAATGTCAATGGCAATCACCGGCAAACTGCTCTGGTGAAAGGGCTTATCCGGCTGAAACGAATTAAAAACAATTTTATTGTTTAATTTTCAACTCAGTTATCCTCTTGCCTAAGTTTATGTTACTTATTACTCTTCGAACGAGTGATTTTGCTTTGTCATGGCATTTTTCGTGTAAAATTTTCAAAAGAAAAACATTCTGCCAAGTCGCTAACTCTCCCACCCACTCAGGTCAGGTCAAGTTTGGCTAATAAACCGCAACAAAAGTTTTTCAACTGATGGGGGGGGTTTTTTCAGGGTCGCCCTGGTTTTAATTTTCACTTTCGACTAAAAGGGGTATTCCAGCACTTTCCGAGCTTAAGAGTTAGATTCTGATGAGTCGTTATAACCACTCAGTTGATACTACAATGAAAATATGACTCAGAAAAGTTAAGCGAGGCTACAGAACAAGGCCCCGTCCACACTACGCCAAAGAAATTTGAAAACGCAGCTCTTCAAACCGGAGCTTTTTGAAAACGATGACGTCATGATGAATGAATGGAAGAGTTTGAAGTGTTTTTTATAAATATTTATTATTATTATGATGATGATGATGATGATGATGATAATCAGCGACTTCCCTGCCTGAGTTTATGACCGGTGATGGCTGCGTTTAAAACATTGTTTTAAAAGCTTCTCCAGCGTAGTGTGGAAGAGTTTGAAGCGTTTTCAGATTGAAAGCGCCGTTTCAAACTTCTCCGGCGCAATGTACACGGGACCTACGATGTCCAAAGCCTGGTTCTCCTTCTCTTGTTTGTCTTTGATCTTCAACATCTGAAAGGCTCTTTCTTCCCGTTTTCGTTTTCTCGTTTTAGGCCCATCCTCGACTAGAGAGTCTGTTTACAGGCTACATTAAGCTCAAGTCTAATAAATTTGGCTGGCGCTAACAAATCGTACCCACGGCATTGTGCAAGTCACCCTCGAGTTATTCCAGGAATCTTTCAAGCGAATTTGATACACTTGTCAATTGCAATCAACATGACCATGCCGCACCAATCAGGAAACCCGTTCGTGGGCGAACGGGTTTTTCAAAATCAAGGGGTTTGTGGGCAAGTGTTCCCTCTCTGGCAATACCCCCTACTCGCTTTCGCTCCAATTTGCGCACGACCGGAATACAGAAAAAGCTTTGTAAGCGCAGGCTAGAGAGTAGCGTATTTGAGGGACTATTAGTTAGAAGTCTTTATTAAGGAATCAGTCACAACATACGTGTGGCTTTACAATCAATAACAAACTAAGCTAAACTAGAAAAAACCTATCATATGTATTACAAGAAAAATTTTAAGAAATA